TTTTTTTTTGGTAAAAGAGTAAATTTGAAGATTCATGGACAACAACAAAAATTGTGTTTTAGCATAAAAAACATCATTTTGGTTGAAGAAGAGCTTCTACATACTGTTGTATTATCCACTACAGAAATACAAAAAATGATTTTGGTAATAATTGATGCTTTTGTTTTCAGGCAGCCGTGGCATAAACTTTATATTGGGTGGTGGTCTAACAAATTTGTTAAGCTCTGTACGTTAATAAAGTGAACATGTTTACATGCCTACAGCTTACGTTAGACTGACTGGCTAATGCAACAATAAGTGAGTAACCAAAGACAATTTTACAATAGTCATTAGTTTCTATTATTGCTTCAAACCCTCTCATTAGATGTCTGGCACATTTTTTTCAAAAAGGAATCTCAAAGCAGACTGAAAGATTAAATAAAGGTTTGGTAACTAATAAATTCTAAAAATGTCAATAACTGTCCGAAACATCTCTAAATAAAAGCCCATTGTCAGGTTCATTCTGACACGACAGCCAAATATTTAATAATATAAAGGTTTCATTCAAATATACTGTTGGATCAAGTCTTTTGAAACAGCTTTAACCGAGCAATAAAGTATCTGCCAGTCAAACAAATTTCATTTCATCTGCACTAATATCTGTCACACTGACAATGATTCTCCTCTCTCGCTGTAACAGTCTTGATGGAATCAGACAAACAAAATTAAAACATGTTTGTTTTTTTTATTACATGAACCACTGATAATGATTGAAAGCAGGATTCATAATATATGAGCAATGGCAAAATAATTATATTTGGAAACAAATAAAAACAGGAGGCACTTCTCAACTGGAGACATCCTCCACCTGGAAAACTGTCACTGTTGCTTGTTAAGGTAATATTCTGACTGCACCCACTGTGCACTTTTTCATACGTTATAATTTCGCAACTGGTGCTAGGATTGACAGGTAATAAGGCCCATGTACTGGGATTACAGTAATTTACTGGTAAAAACTGTTAACCGTGAAGGCTGAATTATGCATCTGTGTTCGGAGCTGCTGTAGTTACAGTATTTGAAGTACCGTCATAGATACAAAGAGAGTGACGTGCATCTCCTTAAAAATGAAACTTCCGTGGGAGCTATGTGGAGATTGAACTGCTGTATTTTCATTCCTTTCTTTTTGTGGTCATATACAACATAAAAATCATATTCAGTAGCTGTTGCATTTCTGTCCCAGTGACACAGACAGGCATCATTGAGGAGGGCTGACACAGTCAAGGAAAACCTCATTAATATCAATGACAAGTGGAAAAAACAATATATTGCTCTTCGGAAAAAGATACCACACATAATAGGCTTGAGAGAGACAGAAAATTAAAGGAGAGATGAAACTGAATGGAAGAAGCAGTGGGAGGGAATGAAGGAAAGACAAAGAGAATGAGAAAGAGAGTCTCACTGTATAATGTGTAATTATCTATCCTATTAGGTCCGGTTGGGATAATTAGAGTGTTTTTTAAACATACATTTATCCAACTGAAGAGCAGCATCATGCTCTTACTCTGCAGAATGAAGTGAATAGCAAAGACCCAGGAGGTTAAGTCATACGGAGAATGAAGGGGATGAGATTGACAGACAGATTGAGGAATCAAGGAGAGAGAGGGATGGAGAGAAAGAGCGGCAGATGACAGAGAAGAAACAATTCAGACAAAGAGATGGAAAAGGTGGAGAGACAAACGTGGCGAGAAGTTCGACATTAGTTCGACATTAGCGAAAGATGATAAACAAATAAAAGCCACGTGAGTCAGACAAAGAGTGTGACAGTTGCATGGAAGGTAATGCCATGGGCGAGACATTCTTGAAGTATGTGCAGTAGCGAAATATGCAGCGGCCACGGGTTTGTCACTTATTGACTTTTTGTCTCTGCGTTTCATTGCATTTTTATGATATATCCATGGACAGCTAATGACATGTCATGGTGCAGCCTCTATTTATGGGAGACAAGGGAGTCGGGTGATGAAAGAAAGGAACAAAAACAGGAAAATGGACTTATAGATTTGATATGGATTTTACTGTCAGCTGTCAGGGTAATGATGATGATGTGAGTCCCCGTGAGACTTCAAGCATGCTCTCACACACACTGGTACACATTAAGAGAGTGTGACTCACTCAATATTCAGCCATAAACACATAATACATGTGTACATATAAAAAATACATTTGTTCAATATTACTCAGAATGTACAAACAGTATACATGTACACACAGATCCATCACGAATGCGTACACACACATATAATGTAGCACCACACACGCAGGTGATACACACACACATGCACAATTAAGTGATTGCATGAGGAGAGGCGCTTGGTGACACTTCCGCCCCGAGGCTTTAGACAGTAACACTCCCATCATGCTCTGCTGAATATCTGCTGAACAATTCATAAATGTGATGGATAGACAGGCAGGATTTGAAGACGGGATGGGGGGGGCACAGTTGTGTAGTTGTCATATTCAGTGGCTGTATTGACTAGTTTTTCTGACGAGAGCTTTTTACTCCCTTTTGTCCTTCTTTTTGTTTCTCCTACGCCCTGCCCACTCTCTTTCATTTGCTTGCAGCTATAATCAAAATAAAAAAGGAAATGACAAGCATTGATATTGATTTTGTGAGTCAGTCAGTTTGCTGGTGTGTAACTGTGGCCTTGTGCCCACATGTCGGCTGATTTAGCTACCTACCCGTCTTAGCTAGCTATCTGCTTCTGCCTTGTCTCTAAACATAAAATCCCAATAAAACTGTATTTTCATTAGTTTCACTCAGCTATTTAGAATAATATTTCAGCCAGCTAGAATCTCCAAAGGGCTGCAAGGTGGAGCGGTGCTTAGCACTGTTGCCTCGCAGCAAGAAGGTCCAGTGAGGACACCCAGGATCCTTTTGCGTGGAGTTTGCATGTTCTCCCCCCTGCAGCGTGGGTTCTCTCAGGGTTCTCCAGCTTCCTCCCACACACATGTTGAGGTTAATTGGTGATTCTAAATTGACGGAAGGTGTGAATGTGAGTGTGCTTGGTTGTCTGTCTCTAAGCCCTGTGATAGACTGGTGACCTGTCCAGGGTGTCCCCTGCCTTCACCCTAAGTCAGCTGGGATAGACTCCAGCCCCCCACGATCCTAGTGAGGATNCTGGTGTGTAACTGTGGCCTTGTGCCCACGTGTCGGCTGATTTAGCTACCTACCCGTCTTAGCTAGCTATCTGCTTCTGCCTTGTCTCTAAACATGAAATCCCAATAAAACTCTATTTTGATTAGTTTAACTCAGCTATTCAGAATAATATTTCAGCCAGTTAGAATCTCAGCAAGGGTTGCAAGGTGGTTCAGTGGTTAGCACTGTTGCCTCACAGCAAGAAGGTCCAGTGAGGACACCCAGGATCCTTCTGTGTGGAGTTTGCATGTTCACTCCGTGCAGCGTGGGTTCTCTCCGGGTTCTCCAGCTTCCTCCCACACACATGTTGAGGTTAACTGGTGATTCTAAATTGTCTGTAGGTGTGAATGTGAGTGTGCTTGGTTCTCTGTCTCTAAGTGTAGCCTTGTGATAGACTGGTGACCTGTCCAGGGTGTCCTCTACTTTCACCCTCAGTCAGCTGGGATAGACTCCAGCCCCCCACGACCCTAGTGAGGATGAAGCGGTGTATACCTAATGGATGGATGGATGGATGGATGGATGGATGGATAGAATCTCCACATTTAAAAGTCACAAGAAAAACTGCTCCACCAAAGCCCCCATAGTTCCATACCGGGCTCCTCCTGATTTAAAAAAAGTCCATCTACAATCACAAAATAAACACAATCTGAAACCAGAAAATTCCTCAGCAGACCAATTCGCTCTTCGTGTAATAAGTCCTCATCACCTAACAAGTTTCAGAGTAACAGGTCCCTTGACACACAAGTGGTAACTACAGCTACTTATTTCCTTACATCAAGTGTGTCCGAACGGAGCATTTCAGCAACATAAATGAAAAAAAAAAATGCTCGCAAAAGTCAATACAAGTTAAAGCTAAGGAGAAAATTGAAAGTAGAAAATATCACACTCAAGAGGGACACTTTCTTTCAATAACAAAACTTCCGAGATCATTTTTGGCTACAAATCACTTTAACTCTCTTTCAGTTAGACTTGAAAGATTTGTACACTAATATTGAAACAATTCTATAACAAATTCTGTTTTTTTTTTTTCACCCCCACAAATGCAGTTGGTATTCACATCACAGCAGGAAAGTTACCCTGAAGGAGTAGACTTTTAAATGACACAATTCACTGAAACCTCTTTCTGAGGTTTAGATAAATGAATCTCTGTGAGGCACTCTAGTGTGACATTGCTTTAAGATGCCCAGTGGCTATAGAAATGCTTCGCTTTTTTGACAAAAATAAACACAAGAATATCCTAATAGAATATCTACATTTAAAAAAATGGGAGATTCACTACGATGACATCACAGTATTTACTACTAAATGTACTCAAAATCATTGAAGATAAAATCATTATGTCCCTTTGTTTTAAATGTGGGTCACATTCAAAAACAGTTTGCTCATAAATGAAAATAATGAAAACAATGTATTTGAAGTAAAATTAAAGTTCTACATAGAAATTAAAAGAGTCTGGTGTGTAAGTATATTATATTAGGTTTACATTAATGTCAACCTGAAAGGAAGAAAGTCAGAAAAGAGGAACAGAGAGAAAAATCACAAGAAAAGGGTATAATAGGAGAGGAACAGCAAACGAATAATCACTGATGTGACCTGTTTCTCTCTGTATAAATAAGCATAAGGAGGAAAAGGAAAAGAAGCAGTCAATATAAAGGGCCTGTTTATGAAAGAAGAAACTTGGCGTGAGCTGTTGCTGTACTTCATATTAGACTATTGTGTTGAGTAAGTGTGATCAGATTTGCTACATAAACTTGGTTTGACTGAGACTAAAACTCTGGGACAAACTGGGATACACACTGACAGAGAGAGTAGAGCAAAGGAGACTTACTTTAGCCAGTAGTGGTGACACCAGGCGTCTGGTGGCTGATTTGAAAATGGCGGTTTGCTGTTTTTTGTAGCTCTCCTCTGTCTTCTTCTCCGGCTGGACACAAAACATTCACACATGTTCACATATATGGTGTTAAGAGTATGAAAGCTTTACTCATGGCTTGTGTAAAAATTTATATTTTAGTCTTATTAAAATCAGGAGAGACACAGTACAATACAACTTCAAAAAACTTTCATTAACAAATTGAATCATTGTTGTCATGCTGCTGGAAAATGAATCTTGGACTGATGTCATGCTTCCCTGATGGTACTGTGTGATGGATAAGGATCTAAACGTACTTAAAACCTGAGTACAGGACTGTATGTGGGAAGAAAGAGAAACAAATAAATAAATGGATTACTATATTGACGGATCTTCCTACCTCATACTGTCCTGGACTTGGTGCCGCTATTGATTCCTTGTTGTGGAAAACAGAGCCGCGTTTAGTGGTGGAGCCAAAGCCTCCTTTCCTGGTTTTCTCTAAAACCGCCTTTTTAAAACTCTCACGGGCTAAACCCTGCTCAAACACATTGTAGGAACCTGGACCTGGACAGAGCACAGACAGAGGTGATTGTAGTGTGTTTGTGAGGAAAAACTTGTACACATTTTTTCTTTTCACTGACCTCAAATAAAACAATCTACAACAACAGCACTGAGAATTGGTACCTGAGGCGCTTTCCTTCAAACCAGTTCCTGTTAGTTCTATCAATGGCCTCATGAGGATGCCAAGAAATTTACATACACGTGTAACTTTGGCTTCAGTTTTGGCAGTTTGTGCACTGACTTAGACTGAAAATGGCATCTGCGCCACAATGGATGCACTCCACACTGCTGTTTTAATCGTCTCTCTCCTCAGCAGTATAATATGTTGTCTACATGTGTGAACGCTTCCTTCAGAAGAGGAAAGCAGAAAAAAGATTTTCCATTTCAAATGATACCATGGCCCTGTGTAGCGCTGCTTAAGAAAACACTCACAAGCAATTTAGAGACCTAAGTAACTGGAGAAAACATTTCATTAACTTCACAGCACATATTTTATGCAGAATTTATAAAAACACAGACAAAACACAAGCAAACACCAAAATACAAAAAAAAAATCCAAGGCAACACAAATGAGAAACATTTGCATTTTCAAGTAAGAGCAAAAAATTAGATTAAGAACTAATTATTTGTACTAAAAAAAACAACAACAAAGCAAATAAATATAATTGCCCCCATTATGTGTGCTGTCACAACAATAAACTTAAAAACAATCAGGTGGAGCGTCACCTATCAACTCTCTTCCACAGTCTAAATAGTAAACACCCCTTCAGATTAACATTTACTATTAAAATACTGGAAGATGCTTAGAGAAGCAAAAATAGATTTGATGCTAATTGTAAAGTTGAATGGGTTTTTCTGTACATAGAGTACTCCTGTTTCAACATAAATAATTTGAGTTATATCTGAAAGGCTGGATACAAAACCAGATGTTGGCAACGGTTCAATTTTGGGACAATATCAACATGGTTACACAAATATACACAACGCAAGTCAATTGTGTTTTATTTTATTTCCACATGGTATTACAAGCTGCAAACGTAGTCCTAGTAATTACTTGTTTGATCAAATATATCAGGTTGAAACCCCAACCTTTTAAAGAACATGGGTTGCTTAAAAAAAATTGTTTGTAAAGCAATTCCAGTGCTAATAATTATGCCCCAGACACAAGAAAGCAATTAAGTGCCAGTGATGTTATGAAAACTACTAATAAAAAATCTGTGCAAACTGTTCTGTCTTTTCATGTGAAATCTAAATATTTGTTAAAGAGCAAACCAGATTGTATTGGACTGGATTAATAATTGCAGCAGAAAATCACTGTAAATAGCATCCAGATGGAACACAGCATACTGTACTTTGGAACATAGCACACTGTAGATAGGCACACACATGTAAACACACAATCACACACACACACACTGACCTGGTGTGGAGACTTTTTTGTGTTTTGGAGAAAAACGCACCGCAGTGATGCCAAATGGGCTTTTCTTCACTCCTGTGGTCCTATTCAGCAGCTCTAGGGCACAGCGCGGGTCATTATACGCACCAACAGGGGGCGACACTTCTTTCATGGGGCTGAACCTCTAAAAAAAAAAAAAAAACACACACAGATGAAAGGAAGCAACAGATAAAGGAGAGAAGTAGGAAACAGAAGTGAGATCCCAGCAGGCACTGAAATTCACAATTTAATCATTAATAGCACTTTGTATTGATCAAAAAGAAATCAGCGTGGTAGCACAAAAACAAATCCAGCTGTGAATACTATATCCACAACCACAGATAGGAGGTGTGTCAGAAAAGCTCCAGGACTGGTGTCACAAAAGACATATTTCAAACTACAAACTACGAGTTTTCCCCTTTAGACGATCAATCAGCACGTCCACAAAGAGGTCTTGCGGCGTTTGCTTCGTTCAGTGCGCGAGAGGAGACCAGAGTTGTGGCAGGACAAGCCGTGGCTGCTTCACCATGACAACGCGCCTGCTCACAATGCCGTGAGCAGCCGACCTGGCTCCGTGTGATTTCTTCCTCTTCCCCAAGCTCAAGGGGGTCATCAAGGGGAGCCGTTTTGAAGACGGAGCTGCAGAGGATCCTTCCAGGAGTGCATGGTGCTGTGGCAGAGAAGGCTGAGGAAGTGCGTTAAACTCCAAGGGGATTACTTTGAAGGGGAAAACTTTTAGTTTGTAGTTTGGATTTGAAATGTATCTTTTGTGACACCAGTCCTGAAACTTTCCGGACGCACCTCGTATAACTTTGACCAATCTAAGCTTTACTTCCACCTTCAGTTGTGCCTCATGTCTGTTCAGGTCATGTGGGATGAACGGCAGCAACAGGCAAGATTCCAATGTGAATACTTTGTGAGCACAAAAGACAAGTTTTCATGTCAACAGCCATTGTCCCTGCTAAAGATTATGTTTTCCAAGAAGAATGAACTATAAATCACTGCTACAAAAAAAAATGTCAGCTTGCACACAGGTACTTTTAATTATAGCACAGCAGGGCTTTGAGCTATATGCTAATGCTTCAGTGTAATTAGTACTGATTTCATTGGCAAGCATAGAAAGAACAGCTTAGGTTGATGAGAATGCCATTAGCTTCTCTGGTATTCGGTCATAAACCAAAGTATTGGATGAATTTAAATTTTGACCTAATGACTGTACAATGGAAAGCCAAGGGATCACCAAAGTTGTTACAGTTTAGCCTGAGAAGGCCACCTGTTTCCCAACAAGTATATGGAAAGAGAAACAATTGCCCAAATTCTGCATCTGTACACCTGTACAATCTGTCACTCTGATTGGTCTGTTTTGTTTTTGCAGCCTAACGGTGGCCTCCTTTAGTTGCATCAGCATCTCTCTGGACCACATATATAGAGATCCAATGAAAAGCGACTCATCTCAAATTCAACCGCTAACCATATCTTTTATCGCTTTAATTTATCATGAAGTAATGAGGACAATGGCCACACCTGAACATGAAACAGCTCAACAGTCACTTTTCCAGTAACTTGTGAGCCTGTGACAAGAATATGTTTTAAAAAATGGCTGTAATTCCTCAACAGTTAATGCAATCATTTGTTAAAATTCAATATCTCAATCAATGGAAAATTGTTAAAATCCAATTTTCCATTAAATCTTGATTGCTTTATTTTAAATCCATTGTGGTAGTGTACGGAGGCAAAACCACAAAATTTGTGTCAGTGTCCAAATACTTAAGAACCTGATTGTAGTTATTTAGATATTTATGTACTGCTAGTCACCTGCTTTGCCTATCTCAAATCCCAACTGTGTGCAAGCTCCACAGATAACTAAAACCCAACGAAACAAACAGAGAAAACAAAAATGACAAAACGAAAAGAATGAAAAAGAAAAACAAATGAGTGACAAAGAAATTAGAGTAGAGTGCACACCGACAGAACAAAGCAGTGGGATAGAAAATGAGATGGGGTAAACAGCAACCTCAACGCAAAGATAATGATGCACACAATCAGGTATGTAACCGTTTTGCTGATATTAGAGCTGATTCAGCGTTGTAACTGCGTGGCAGCTTCACTTCCAGGGTACAAATGTGTTTATCTGATAGCCTGTTATAACAACACAGGCAATCAAGGGACCAAATCAGATAAATTGCCTTCTCAGTCAAAATTACTGAAGGTGAACTGTGCTTCGGTGTAACACAAAATTTGTCTTCAGCCTCTCACATCTGAACTGTTCAGCAGGTTGTTATCCAACACAATGGGGGAATAAAAGGAACTTGATTCCTTCAAATACCAGCAAAGTCATATTAAACACACACACACACACACACACACACAGAGCCAGTTGGAGAACGTCATCAGTTCACCAGATGATATTCAACTATAAGAGCGATCTTAAATTTAACGTATTTGTTGGAAGCGTGCCAATCATTGATTTGCACTTCCCAAGATGCAGCCTATGGAAAATTAGTTGTGTGGGGTAATGAAAATGATGTTGGTAATGTTCAGCTGAATTATTGAGCTTTTAGGCAAAAAGAAGAAATGAGAGGAAAAGAAATTTGAGTAAAGACGTATAGCTGGAGTAGAAAATTAATCGGAGTGCACAGCAGAAAGGGGAAGTGTTTGGGGTAGAAATTGAGCATTTGAAGAAAAGCAAGAGGACGAGCAACAGGACGAGCTGTTCCAAGGCCAAACCAAACGGTATTCTTTCAAAGTCCGTTGCAGAGCTGGGGTTTATGACCATCTGTCAGTCCAATTCTGTTCTACTGGCTTTCGGTAAAGCTTTATTAATGGGCACATTTTCTCTCTAGCAATGACACACTGAGCTCTGTTGGCAATTCGCATCGAGGCTGAGTGGTAGATTTTTTTTAGTTCTGCCTCCTATTGTTCCATTTTTCAAACACATAAGAAATGTCAGAGGAATACTTTTGAAAATCCTTCCCAAAGCCAAAATGCTCTCAATGCAATGCGGCACTGTAGGTATTTCAGTGACACGACGTCTTAATGACTGTTAATGTGAAATAATGAGGCCACAGAGTGAGGGCTATAGCTCACCATAGCAGAGGTAGAAGCTCTTTCATGCCCCTCTGGTACCAAACAAATCCCAACTTGCACTGTTAAGGTCAATTTAGACTGAGCAGAAAGAGAAGGCAACATGACTGCATATAAAGTCTTTGCAAACACACCAGTCCTCCCTGGGCTGCACAAGAAAGGCAAAGATGCATCCCCACAGGTTGAAAAAGTTTCAACTTGAGCCAAAAGTGTACAGTCATCCTGAGGCTGTGTGACTCCAATTTCTTTCTCAGGCGACATGCTGAGCTGGTGCATTGACAATGTGATCCATCACACCACTGTGAGTGTGTATAAATGTGCATGTACACATGTCACAAGGAAAAACGCATGGAAACTACAAGAGAATAACTAAAAGAAATTTAGAGCAGAAACACACTGCACACATGCTGCAGGTGTAGACAGTTCTACCAGGCTACAGCGAATGCATTTGCTAAACACTGTTGCAGATATGATCATGATACACTTCCTTGTATGTTTTCGGTGTGTATTCCATCATCACATGAAAACCTTAACATCTTCTTCTTACATAACGTATGATGGTTTGCTAAAGCCTATAAGTAGGTTTGTTTATTTTGGATTGTTATTATGTCACCTGCAAAAAAGTTGTTAAACACATAACTTCTTATGATTTTAAATAGGTTTCATTGGCTGAATGCTCTGTGCATTCCAAGTGTTGTCATTACAAAACAAAATCTGATCATTCACAGCACATGTTTTTTTTCAAAAATGTGTGGCCCAAATAACAAATCACAGTACTTTTTTTAAGTACAAGGATGTGAAGCACCAAGAGAGAAAATGGTCTTCAGGGACTCCGGGATGAAACGAGATACGAATCTAAAGGATGGAGTATAGAGACAATGTGGGTACAAATAAGAACAAAGAATAGGAGAGGAACAGGGAAGGGAAATAGAGTGATAGATGAGGGACACAGAAAAGTTACGTAAGCTTCATGTCTGTGTAAAGCAACACTCCACGGAAAGAACTGTTAAAAGCCAACCATCCTAATTCAACCATTTTTTTTTCTCAAGTGTGACATTGGGTTTCAAAATGTGAAAAAAAATAAGCAGCTCTGAAATGTGATAGTTTTCCTTTAGACAGTTTTCAATGAGCTACTAAGCATGCAAACAGAGCTGAGGTTGTTTGAACAGGTTAGATGGGAAACTGCAAATATAGAATAATTTCATCACTTGTGGCTGTGGACTAAGTTACCAAAATATAATAAGCCAAACAAACAAGTCAACGTACTCTCACTGGAGAGTACTGCCAGAAATGGCACCAGATGTGAGACGGGCGGATGAAGGCCAGGAAGCGGGATAGTCAGTTCGACCTCATTCACCAGAAGCAGATTATCTTTGAATCCCAGCAATGAAAGTCTGTTCAGCTACCTCGAATAAAATGGACACCGCAGAGGGTGGTGCTGGTCCCAATTCTCGGCTGTCCATCAATGTGCAAAATGAGTCCACATATTCATCATCATTTCTTGGAAAATGAAATAAGAACCCTGATCTGCAAGTTCTGGCAACCAGGGAAAATGCATTTGCAGGACAAAGGCGTAGCTAGCTAGCAAACTGTAGGCTGTAGTAGGTGTAGAAACTTGCAATCACGGGACGAGCCATTGATCTTTATAATGTTACAGTGTTAGGTGTCATGCATAGTAAGTAACCCAGAACACAAAAATGATGAGAAACAAATCAACAATCTGAAGCCACAATTCAGGGCGACACGCTTCACAGCCTTTTCACGTTTGTATCACATGTATTATGTGTTTAGAAACAAATTTCCGAATTTTCTTTACACTGACTTTAAAAGAGCAAGAATCCACCAGAAAAGGAAAAAAGAAGAGCTGGGTAGAGGAGTGAGAGCCAGGGAAATCGAGGAAAAAGCCATGTTTTCACAAAGTGTCTGGTTGATGCTTTGATATTGAGGAAATTGGGAAGTCAAAAGGAGGAGGAGAGGTGAATACGGAAGCCTCCAACTGTTCTGCTTATCTTCCCCTTCCTCCCTCCTTCCTTTACTCCCTCCTTCCCTCGTTCCCTCTCAATCCCTCCACAGGATAACAGTGTCAGATGGAACTGGACTCACAGGGAGACGAAGATCTAAGAAAACCGTCGCTCTTAGTTCTGCCGTGGAGATGACTTGTGACACGTGCACGCGCGCGCACACGCTCGCACATGTTCCTTGGTGGGTGTCAGTGACGACATCAGAGGGTCGACGCACTAACGCAGCATGTGGCCGGGGAAATTAGGTCAGAGCAAACTCCGACACACACACACACACACACACATGTGCACACACATCAAATAAACCCCCGAATCTTGCATTGGTTGTTCTCACCAGGAAACTAGAAAAAATGTTAATATTTCAGACATTATAAAGGTAATTTTAGAGAACCTGTAGCACACACACAAAAATCTAGGAGTAAATTTCCTTGCATGTCCGCATTACTTGCAAACCTGTCTCGGATCTGTCTGCGGCTGAAATTCACACACACGTGCATGTCTGAGTTTGCGATTGTGTACGTGAGCAGACACCATCGCATTGTGCATGTGTGTCTCGGAGTGATAATTAAAACATCAGTCAGAGTTTCACAGGAGTGAATCTGTGGGCCAGTGCCGCAGAGGAGGAGAGGAGAGCTATTCCTGAAACGCAAAAACTACACATTTTCACATCCTTCATCTTTGCTCCTCTGAGCCTCTTAATAAACTCATCTTCACCCCCATCTGAAGAAACCCTCCAATCCCGGCACATCAATTAAACAAGCAAGGAACGGCTCAGTGTCGTGGATCTGTAACCGATCTTAACTATTCCATATTAAAACCCAGCCTCCTTTGAGAAAACGTAAATTGAATATATTTGTCTCCTGTAGATTATGTCTAAGAAATTGTTTTAGAATGCTCTGGTTGTTTTCGCTGTTTGTAGAGTATTATGTAAAGTAATGAATTAGGTAAAGAAGTTGAATTACGTTCTCCCTGAATGGTACTATAGCAGCAGAACAGGAGCTATGGTTGGGAGGACTTTAGGTAATGCAATCAAAAGTGTCATTAACAACTTTGCTCACATTCTACCTTATGTATACTTGTTAACTAGGCAGTAGCTGCTGTTGCTATGAGACAGCTAACTACTACAGCTATGTACAGTAGCTCCTTGCAGCTACAAGCCTACTCATGCGGACATTACGGGTTACTGCAGTTTCTTAAAGCTCCATGATCAACAGTTTCAGTAAATTCAATGAGTCACTCATACAGACAAACCTACAGAAAATTACAGCCGCACTCATTTTAGTGTTTTACAGCTCATCGTTTTGGTTTTTATGGCCATCAGCTTTACTGTTTGGTTCAGTGTCAGCACACTCAAAACATCATTATATCTGTGTACTACCTGCCCAGCACCAAACAGACAAAGTTAGCATAAAGCTGAAGAGGACAGTGGAACATTGTTGACAGAAGAAATTTCCCACAACAGTTTGTGCAGACTAAAAAAAAATCTAAAACAAAAAGTGAATATATGATTTGTATTTATCAAGAACATCAAAACTTGACTCAGAATGAATGTTAATGTCGTGAAATAGGGTTTACAGTTTCAATCAGTTTCAATCACATAACTAAAAATAAAAAAAATACTGAAAACAAATGCCAATACTTTCAAGGAAGCCAGGAGATTTTAATGTTGACAGTTCGCTTTTAAAAATGTTTTATTCATCCTTTATTGAGTCAACCCTAACTTTTGCAGTGATTTGCTGGTACGGGAATCTCAGCATCACTAATAAAAATCGGCTGGGGAGCATTGTTAAACTTTGCCAAAAAACCACTGGCAGTGGCCTGCAGCAGCTTGACAATGTTTATCAAGTAAGAGCCCTTCAGAGGGCAACGGTCATCTTAGCCAACCCACACCACCCTCTGTATGCTGAGTTTCAACTTTTGCCGTCTGGAAAGAGGTATACCTTCCCTAAGAGGGCCAAATCAAACAGATACCTCAGATCATTTGTTCCCTCAGCTGTAGGGTTTCTAAATAAGCTTTAGGCTTGTGTCCTTGCGCCATAGGCTACATATATATATGGTCATGATAACTCACCTGATGACATTTATTATTTATATCGATGTTTCTATGTTTTGTACTGTTGTACTATTATGGTATGAATGTCAACTGCTGTTGCAAATCAAATTGCCCAAATTGGGACAATAAAGACTTTCTAATCTAATCTACACAGGGCTAGTGTTGTCTAAAATTGATTTCATTTTATTAGAAGGTGTTAACTGTATTTTTGTATATATATTAAATTATAAACATTACAGTATAAGAATATTTATCACCAGTACATTATTTATAAAGAAGCTCTGTCAAGTTTAACTTATATTGTCTTTTGCAATGATGAATTCTGATGGATACGATCATACAACCGGACCTTGGATGGGCATGACCAAAATGCTTTTTAACAAAAGCGATGGATGTCATTCTACATAGAAAGACAATGCTGAAGTTCTGGATTCAGACACGAATGAATGTGAACATAGAATAAATGCCATAGGAAAGCAAGAACAGGAACATAAACCTGAAATAGAGTCTGAAGGATGGAAGCAGTGTTAAAGAATCTGCTCTGTAGTACCTAATTCACATGAAAGTGCAGCAACAAGGCTGCACACAGAGCTGTTTGTGCTTTACCTCAGCTTGTGAGAGGAAGGGACAAGTGAACTTCGATAGGTTGCCACTGGGCTTGACAGGCTTCTCAAACTGACTTCTGATGTGGTACTGGCCTGGACCAGGAACTCCCTGATGGGGGGAAAAAAGAGAGAAATGTACAGTAAATCAAAAGGGAACTTTGTATCGGAATGCAGTTACATGTTTTGGTCACTTTTCATGTCGCTGTGTCAATTAGAAGAAAAAGAGAAAGTCGGAGGGAGTCAAAGGGACACTGAGAGGAAAGAAGAAAAAAGACTTGCTTTGATTTTTTTTTCTGTTTCAGTGGTAAATGAAGGGCACAAGGGTGAAGAAAGGAGGTTTCAGTATTTTGAAAATGAAGTAAATGAGAAACACATCGGACAAATGAAGCAATTTATAAGCAAGACTCTTGTAAAAATTGAAAAAAGGGCGATAAAAAGACTGTTCTCTTTTTCTGCACTGAAGTTAAATCACCAAAAAACTGGCACGCTAGAAGAAAAACTAACCACAATGTGTGCATGTTTGTGCTTTTCATTGACAGGTATAACAATCACGTCACCTGACAACAGAAGACAAGCGCATCATTTCGGTGCAGTAATTGCTGCGACTAGCAAACCAGCAGCTAACAGCACTTCACACTTACTAAGATGCTGACAGCGAGATAAGGAAACACACACACACACTTCCTCACACTCACGTCCATTTCCCACATTCCCCAATGCAGAGCCAGGACATTTTTGTATCTGTGGTAATCCTACAAGGTTGCTTGGCCAGAGGTGGTTTAACTAGGTCTGCAGTAAAAGAGCATGGATTTCTGTGGTCATTGTTAGCATTGTGAGGGGGCAGTGCAGTGAATTCCAGGACAATATGTCTTCCCTATGCCTTAGGACAGCTCAGTCTTTATTCATGAACGCTGACCACAGTGCCCTGTTGCAGGAAACCTGTTTCTTGTCCTCTGAATCGGATGTGTCATATGCTGTATGCTGATGTACAGTAAGACCACTACTAAGGAGGACTTTCTTATGGGATAAAATATACAGTTTGCTAGAATAAAAACACTTGACACACAGAGCAAAGTCACTTGTTTAGGTCATTTTCAGCAAGAATGAGTCGCATACATTTTGTTCCACATCCACTGAAATGTTAAGGAGACCTCTGCACCTTTTCTCATCCAGACGGCTCTAAACACAAGCCAGCAAGAAATTCCTGAACAGGTTCACTATTCACTTTTCATCACCCATGAGGATACATAAGTAAATCTACGGGCTTAGTCGATTTTACGCCATCATTGCACGGTTCAAATATATGGGCTCATACGAGGGTCAATAAAATTTTGAGCCTGTGAAATAAAATTATTTCCAAGCCGGTGGTTGTATATCACCATACAGTACTGTAATTCAGGTTTGTGAATGTGTAGAAAGGATTTACGACTGCAGAGAAATAGCTCTCAATCTTCCCACACTGTTTATGACACTTAAGTTACACATCTACACAAGCAGCATGCTTTAAAGATGTGGACAAAAAAAAAAAAAAAAAAGAGGTGTGTGCTGGAATGTGTAACTTCAGTGTTAGACGCAGTGTTATGGAAAGTTCTCTGCTTGGAATTTGTAATCAGATGTTTACTCTAAGTTTTAGGGTCACCATTGCTGATATAGATTTGGCACAAATTTTATGTATGCTGTTACAAATCTTTGTCCACAGATTTACTAGCAGTGATACACAACCAAAGGCTTTGAAATTATTCAACTCTATGCAAGCTAAAAAAAAAGACTTCTTATATAAGCCCAGTAGAAATACAGTATAATTGTGATCATATCATGCAACCAATATGTTTAATTTACAGTTTTAGGGTAGGTAATCCTATATGTTAGACAGCTGTGCCGAGTATTATTTTTCTTTTTTTTCCCCCCGGCGAGATGTGCTGCTTCCCAATTTCCAAAAATAACAAGTGCTGCAAACATAATAACACCATCCATGATGTTGTTAACATGGAATCCACAACATTTTAAAGATGAACTGACAGTGAGCTCTGTATTTATGGGGTAATATCAGCTACCGCATTGGTGCAGTTCCATCCGTTTTGCTTTTGTTTGCAGGTATACTCGCGATAATGGTTTGTTAAAGTGGTTCGCTCAGTCATTGCCCTTACCATGTCAGAACGCCTATTTAATGGAAAATCCAACACACTCTTAAACTCTACGGGAAGACAGCAGCCCCAAGCCATTAAAAGCAGACTGTCTGCTGATCTCCAGGAAGTAAAGGTGTTTGTCCTGAATGTCCCCGCTGTGGGAAATGACCCATCTGGTCAGTGTATGTGTGGGAGTACATGTGAGTTGAGGTGCCAGGTACTAATGATGACGGATGGAGGTGCAGCCATCATGGTAGGTAGGGGGTCCAAATACAGCATGGTGCGCACACACACAAAAAAAAGGTACACAGAAGGCAAAGTTGTTGATTCAAAGTCACAGGATGATTTATAATATGTTAGAAAATATTCAGGTAATCCCAGGAACCATGTATTAGGTAAAGAGAGGTGAAACGCCTGGAATAAAATGTCTTGTATAATGGACTGTGCACAAAAATGAACCAAAAGAAGAGAGAAGCAAAGAGAAAATTAGAAAACATGAAGGTGTAAGTGCCTTGACAAAAAGATACATTCACCCTTTTCTCATCCACTCCCAAATTTTTCAGACTGTGCCTCACTCCCTCACTCACTCACTCACTCCAACCCACCGATCGGTGAAATAAGGCATCACAAAGCATTACTCTGCCAGCACAGTCAAGTTCATATGCAGGTGAGTAACTCCCCTCCACTCATCCAGCTCCAGTGCAGCGGTGTGTGTTTGTATGTGTGTGTGTGGGTTGCCAGTCCATAATTAAAGCTTATGTTTTACTGCCCTCTATGGGCAAAAAGACAAACTGATGAATCATAATTAGAGAGGAAAGGAGGGGTTGAATGATTTCATCTTTAATTGGTTGTACTTGAATAAATCCAGAATAAATCCAAAGTACTTACCTTGACTCTGTTCTCACTGTAAATCACAGCGCGCTATCATGATTCATTCTGAATCTGCAGTTTTCAAATCCTATTGTGTTACGAATCAATCTGAATCAAAGTGCGGAGAAGAATTGGGACAAGCCGTTTAAGAACGACGGGTGGTCCTGTTGCTTTAAGATATTAATGAAAAATGTCAAGGCATTAAATTTATGAGCTTTAAAATGTAATTACAATAACATTACATACTATGCTTAAACAGGCAGAGGCAGTGCATTCAGTCCATTATTTAATCATAATGTGCTTATGATGGCTTTCCCTTTACTTCACATTAAATGTCAGTTACAAAAGAAAAAAAAATACTGTTTGAAACCTTTTTTTCTTTTTCCATTTTTAAAAGAAAACTGTCTGCATAAGTATTATTTTATGACTAAATGTTACCTACAGGTTAACAGTTTATTTGTTGTGTGTACTATGGTCAGGAGAAAACATAGATTTGCTAGTATTATTACTAGTACATATATATCTCCAAGACACCAACATAAATAAAACAAAGCATATTATTAAAATTCTGTATATACACCAACTACAAACTAATAACAACCCCTGAAAGTTTCTCACCTCCTTTAGCAGCAACGTTCATATTGTGTACTATTTTTCCTCAGTTTTGTTGTTGTTGTTGTTGTTGTTGTTGTTGTTTTAAGGCGGGTTAGTGTGGAAAATAACAGGTTATGCCATCTTGTTGTGGTAGCCTGTCATTTTTAAAATGAGAAATTACCAACAAAAATACTTTTCAGTTGGGCTGTCCAAATAAATTACACCAATGTTAAATTATACTGATGACTGCAGTGTTTACTGACAATAAGACTCTCTGAAAACAGCTGAATTTATAATGAACAGAAAACACTTTGCTTAACTCTATAATTCTTTCTCTTTGCTGCAAAAGCCCTACTTTGGCTTGTCATTAGTTTGTTGTGGCTAATGTTAGAAAACCTAATGTAGTTGTTGTTGTATACCACTGAGTCAGTCCTCTAACCAGACCGGTGACTGTGCCAGTGTTCCGCTACTGTGCCCTCATCATATATAATATTAATAGTAATATTTTACATTAACAATGGATCAAAGACTGTACCTCGTGGCAAACCCACAAAGACATCTCACAAACTCTGCAGTTACTCCGGAATTTTAGAGCCTTCCAGCTCATTGATTTGGTTTTTAATGGCTGCAACTTTACGGCTCTGGTTTCTTTGATCGCTAATGTTTTTTTTAGAAAGAGGAAGCAGATTTCCACAGAAAAGCTCTGATAAACCAACTAATGGCTCCCGGCACAAGCACTACATGTTGGAAACTAGCTTGTGAACAAAGCGGCCCACTAAGCAACTAAAATGACAAATATGTTCCGAAAAGGAGAGCAAATAGTGGGCTTACTTTATTGTGCTGGATGTTTTGCACCAAATCGACTTTATAAGCTTATATTATGCTAATGCTGGATTGTGCTGAAAAAGAAATCTTTCAATGCATGTTTAATTACCACTTGTAGCCACTGCTTGGCACTTTACTTTAAAGGAATATGCCTACCCAACATACTTCCAAGTGCAGAGACTGTTTCCACTCATTTAAACTTTTTTATCAGTGATCCAGACATGTATGTATAGCATCACATGGACACAAACACCCGCCAGCGCAAACAGATACTCACCTTCTTTTCCTCTTGCTTGGGGACCAGTTCATGGTAGCGAGGGATGATAAGCTCAGCTCGACCTCTCTGGTCCCTTTGAAGGTTCACATTCTCATAGTGTGTTTCTGTAACTCTGCGACAGAAAGGGACAATGGCAATGTCTTTCAAAGTAGACGACACAGACAAGCAAACAGAAGAGATAGCAAAAAAAAACAAAGAGAGAGAGAAAATGTTATAAAACAATAGAGCAGCAGAAGAAAGTAGGGTTGGGGAGATAAACCACATTAAATGAGAAGTCAAGTAATGGAAAAATAAATAGGAATAGATAAACAAAGCAAAGAAAGATGGGAGCAGGGGACAGGAGAGAGAAGAAATCAACTGGAGAAAAAGGGCTTCCCCCCATCGTAAACCCTGAAAAAACTTTACTAGGAGTAAAGATTGAATTATCAGCCATTTTCAAATGATCCTGGCACTCACATGTGTACCACAGATATGTCTGCATGGAAGCGTAAATGTCTGCCTGCTTCACTTCAGTGTAAACAGTATGATTGTTCACATACACACATTCCCTTCTATTACTGAGTCAATTCCTTTATGAATAGTCGAGCTGGATGCGTGCCCACCTGTGTAGAAGTGCTTAGCAAGCCCCATCGTCCGTGGCCATCAATAGAAATGCTATGTGAAAAATGTCAAACATAATGCCCTGGCTCGAGGATCAAAGCAATATTTCACTTGGAGGAACAGCCTCTCTATTCAGCACACATCTTGGTAAGAGCTCAAAAGCAGTGAACTTCTGAGATTAGATGCCCTAGAGCATCTAATCTAACCAGCCCCTTGGCTCTTTATCCCTGTTTAAAACTGTGAATTTATGAACATTTTATTCCAAATGCATGAAATGACGGTTAGCCATCAAATTTATTTCAAAATAAATATGTTTTTCTCCATATGTTTTCTTTTTGGGACTTGTATGATTCAAACTTAGAACTAAAAGTGGCAGTTTATAGCATTTTGGGGACTGATTACATTTTTAAACATGACATGTAATACTCACATCTCAGGGTTATATTCTCCTGGACCTGGTCCACCCTTCACCAGAACCTCACCTCTCCTCCCGGTCATGTTGCCAAAGTGAACCCCTTTATACTTCTGTGCAGAACTCACCTCTGACTGGAGAAAGAGAAGAAGAGAAGAGAAGAGAAGAGAAGAGAAGAGAAGAGAAGAGAAGAGAAGAGAAGAGAAGAGAAGAGAAGAGAAGAGAAGAGAAGAGAAGAGAGTGAGATAACAAAATGACAAATGGATGAGCACAGAAGTAGAAAACAGAATTGACTCATTCACACTTATCTGTTTTTTCTTCCAGCCCAGGCTCATAAAGTTGTGGCTGAATGAAATGTGAAGTTCAGCCAAATGCCAGAGTATGTCAGAGATCCAGGGGAGGCCCTTCATCCTTTCATATCTCTCTGAGTTTTACAGCCTGCTTCCTCTGCCTCCGGCCTTTCAGATAGGACCAGTCCACTCTCCAGCTTAACAACTGAGAGAGGCTACTGTGGAAATGAACTGGCCGCATTTTAGAGATCTTATATGTGAGATTTTCTCCAAAATAACCAGATCTTTGATGCATACCTAACCCTAACCCTCTCTCTAATGGCATTTCCTATGTGCATTAGTACTAAAGCTATTAAATAAATGAAATAATGTCAAAAAATAACAATATTTAAGGAGACGAAACTATGAGTCTCTTGCATTTTTAATGGCTCTGAGGCTGAACACAGCGGTGCTTTGAACAGAGATGAGGCCAAAGTGGGAAGCATGAAACAGACTTAAGGTTACAATTTGGTCAAGCTGATGCCAACAATGCTTACACTCATTAAATATATATAATATTATATAATATAATATACTCATTTATGCCTCTAGGGGATAAATAAAGTTATTTGAATTGAATTAAATGCAACTAAATTAGCATTGGAGGGAGAACAAGACCTGTAGGATAAGCAGTGTGTAATAAACTCCTAAAAAACACACATTTCCACCCACATCACCAATGTGTTTTACACTTCGCACAGTCATATAGTGCTTGTTGCTAATAGTGACTTGTATGTACCTTCAACTTTAACAAATGTACAAGTTTAGGTATTCTTGTATACAAACAATTCAACTAAAAGTCACCCCATCATCTTGTATCAAACGTGCATTTCGACTAAATACACCCAAGATTAAATGTTATTCCCATATTTTTACCGTTTTCACACTGTGCAAAAAAAAACAAGAGTAGGATGAGCAAGTAGCTTTCTGAGTGGGCTCCCACCACAGTTTGGTTTCTCAGTTCACTTCAATTCATGCTGCTGACACTGACACAAGTCTGCTCCAAAAACTGCCTTCCATGAATCAAAAATCAAAGCCGCTAAAATCATTCCATCTCTTTTCTAACTTCTTCCTTGACCCAACTGTCTGTGTCTATTCCGTGAGGCAGGTTACAGGAAGACTGGCAGGGAGCCTCAAAAAAGTTTTTTAATTCCATGTGGTGCCTGTCTCCTTATCTCAACTTTAACAGCGACTGGAGGACGAGATCTGAAGTTCTCTCCGCTGTGATCCTCAAATCAAGTTTTGAGGACGGGTGATAGGAAACAAGGATGTTTAGATGCTTAGAGTTGAAAAGAAAAAAACAGAAGTGTTCTGCATTGCATATAAACACATACGAGCGGGCGTGATGGTATCACAGCTGGCACTGAGCTCAGAGGCAAAAACTTCCTATTTATGTCAAGGAGAGCTTTTAAAAGCAAAACAAAAAAACACAGCTAGTGGGTATAAACTGTCAAGGTTTTGCCTTTTGTCATTTCTTTTGCTCTGATTTTCTGTTTTCTATTCACCCACTCCTGTCATTGTAAACTAGCCACTCCTACCTGCCCTGCTTTCTCACCTGGGGTCACAAAGCAGGTTCAACAAACTCTGAGTCTAATCCTGAACTCCGAGTTGATCCACTCTGAGATAGGAAACTCAGAGTTTCCCTCATTTCAGGATTAACAGACTCAGAGCTTTCACTAAACCTGCTTTGTGAAACGGACCCCAGATCTTCTCTGGCCTGCCAGTCAGTTCCTGCAGTATTTACAGATAGGTGACAGATTAAAGCAAAAAAAGCAACTTTCTAAGGTCAACATGCTTTGGCACTGATTCTCCAAATCCCTTGAACCCTACTGGAGGTATGTAACACCACTCTTGCAAAAGATATTACCACATTTAGCATTTCAATGAGGTGGGTCTCTGAATGTTGACTACAAAGGCCATAGCATATGATTCACATTATTTTCATCAAAGCTTTCAGTGACCTCTTGTGCCCTATGGATGAAGGCATTGTCATCCTGGAAGAGACCACTCCCATCAGGATAGAAATGTTCCATCACAGGACAAAGGTGATCACTCAGAACAACTTCATTGATTTGCAGTGACCCTTCCACCAAAGGGGACAAGTGGACCCAATAATGTCAGCAAAATGTCGCCTGCAGCAGAACATGGCCGCTAGATTCCCTCACTGTAGGGGTCAAGGGTTCAGGTTTTTATTTTAATTTGTCACACATCTGTATATTCTAAGCTCACAACTACTCATCTGCCAGATTGTCTTTATGATTTGTGCTTAACCTCTCAAGCGGTCTGTCTCAGCTCCCAGTACTTGCTTGCTTTTTTTTTTGTTTGTTTGCTTTTTTAATCTTGCTTGTACTTTGTATTCCTCCTCTGCCTGCTCCCTGTCTTTTGTTGGCTTTGCCTGGTTTTTGTAACTGTGACCCTGCTTTTTGTAGGAAAAACTCTTTTTGCTTTTACAACCTGCCTCTTTTATTGTGCTCTTGGGTCCACTGAACAGACCTGTGATGTAAACATATCCATTCAGTTGTGATAAAATGGAATGGCAGGTTATTTATTGTTTAAATGAGAATAAGAAGCCAACCAGAAATCAAGGCTTCTATTGGTAGCTGTATGTGTGGGCAGGATCTCTAAACAGACTCCACACTTCAAACACCAAGTGTGTGTAGAGTGACTATTATATCTGGATAGTACCATAGGGTATTTTACAGATTAAGCGTTATTAACATAGAGTTTGCAACAAAACTGAAAATGAATAACATACACATGCAAAATATTGTTTTTTTTTAAGTCAGTAAATGAATGTTGTTTAGACACTTTACATTCTTTTGTCCTGTGATTTATCATCTGTATCTACCAGCCATCATATCAACTGTGAACACATGCGACATGTTGAGCATGCAGTGCACAGCAGAAAGCTACGGAAACAAAGCATAATTCTTACAACAGATTTTGGTTGCGGAACAGTTGCTATGACCCCTGTCGTGAATGCAGCTCTTTCATTCAATAGCCAGTTGGCAAGTGCTGCATTCTTAACCTTTCACATGTTCATTTTCTAAACTGATTCACATGCTCGCCTTTATACTAACAGTTTGTGTTCCAAATCACCATCTGGCTGGCTGTGTAATGGTCATCTGGCAAATCTAATATCGCACAGTTTAAACTAACAAAATATCTTGTGGTGACACTGTTTCTGATGCAACACTACTTACAGCATTATTCACAGATTTTAACATATCACGTACCTGAGCCAGTATATCTGTGATGGTCCTGTCCTGGCCAGCAGCTACGCACTACTCCAGCTTATTAGTCTGTCTCTAAAGTAATAGTTTTGTCAAGAGAGACTTGAACCATAAGTTCGGGGTCAGTGGCTAAAGCCGATTAAGATGTTTTTGTGTTTCTCAATAACACCCAGATAGAAAACAAACGTATGCACTTCATACGATTTCAGTAGAATTTCTTATCATTCAAAGGTTGTCCCAGCCACTTTGAAGTTACGTCCTCAGACAACCACTTAATTCCGCCTCTCCACACTTTTGAACTCAGCCAGAGCATGGGGTGGGGGAAGTGTTTGAGTTTAAAGAAATGAGTGTGTCAGACGGATGAACTGAGGGAGGGAGGCAGACGGAAACAGAGGTTGAACTTTCAAAGGGAGAGCAACAGAAGTTGAGACGAAAAAAAGAGCCATGGATGGATGCACTGCTGATAGCCCTAAATCACAGCACGCCTCCGTGCCTGCGCCGGTGTGTTGACACAACCTCGGCCAACACTCAAGGACGCTGTTGACTTCCTCCGGTCATTAACAGATGAAAAATTGCTTAATTGAGAGCCAGACCAGCAGGCGTGTGCATTATTTTAAGTGAATATTGTAATATAGCTTGAAGAATAATTACTAATGGCTCTCTTTGTTGGCATGTAAAATGGATGAGCATTGGTGCGCTGTGGCTTTTTTAAAGTGGAGCTGCATTCATTAGCTATGGAAATGGGTTTTGGGCCAACTGAATGAGGTGGGGTGGGGGTTCAGTGGTGCATTAGATCTGCCTAACACTAATGGACCTCGCCTCATGGCAGAGTAAGTACACTCAGACACACACTTGTACAGATTAATGAAAGCACACATGCGTGCACAAGTGTTTCACACTCTCTGATGGATGTACATTCAAACTTCGACAGAACTGTGCACATGTGTGTGTGTATTTTGTCCATACCAGCGGTGGATTGTAGTAGGCCGGCCCCAGGGTTGTGTCCCTAGGAGGGGGCTTTTGCTTGCGGAGCACACCCAGGGCATCCTCCTCGTAGCCAAAGGCCTGGCCCGGGGAAGGAATGGATGGGGTATCTGACTGACGAACCAGCCGGAGACTTTTAGCCTGCAGCCAGAGCGCAGAGAGAAAAGGCAGGAGAAAAGCAGTAAGAGCGGTGCGAGAAGTCAGGGATTCTGATGGAAAAAATGCCCTGGCTTTCAAAGCAGCTGAACACTGCCTGGGGCCAATATAACGTGAGACGGAGGGAGGGACAGAGACGGAGCGAGAGGGAGTGAAAGACGCAGAACATAAGACGCAAAAGACAATCGGGAAAACAGGGGAAGAAAGACGAAAAGACCAAAGTACGAGGAAGTAGAAGTGTAGAAGTTCAATCGTAACAATATCTGCGGAGAGAACAAGAACAAAGATCTCAGCGAAAATGGAAAGACGCTACTCTAACTTTCCACAGCTGGAAGTAACACACGTGCATATGTGCTATTCAAATATTTACAGCGAGCATAGAGGAAGAGTGTCTGTAGAGATTCTTTCAGGTTTGGCGCAGAGGTGAAAGTTTCAAATGATCCATTCACTATGAGAAGTGAGCGAGTCAGTGGTGTCGGTATTGTTCAGATAAAAGCCCTCAGCACAGTACTAACCATAGCTCATCATTGTGCATACAGTACATCATTCTAACAGCAAGTGGATAGAAAGTCATAATCATCACTATCATCAGAGTTCATGGCAAGGCCACACTCAGCATTTTACTGACAAAGCTACAGGCTATTGAACAGGCTACAGTACACAAACTTCAACATTTTTTCTCCAAAGCTCCAATATCATGTCAGGAATAAATAAAAAAAATTGCTGTCTTGCTTTGTTTAAAAGTGAAACTCTCAAAGCAGCTCAGACATTATCTTCCACTGCAAGCAAGAGAAAGAGTTTGCTGTATGAAATATGGGTTTACACTGGTACAAGGCTATTCAATTAGCTGAATTTGATGAACAATTAAACCTGTCAAGGCGTTTCCTCGTTTCTGTACAGTAAACACAAAATTTGAAAGGTGAGAAAAATGCTAGTCTACAAAGAACAGAGTTAAAATGAACACACTGGTAACCTTCAGCCGTTAGTCACTGCCACTGTGCGAGAACCAGAGAATCCCTGGACAGAATGAGGTCCAGCTCTGCCACTGCTGCTGCTGCTGCTGCTGCTGCTGCTGGCATTATAATGCAGCATATTCAGCCTAATAAGGCCACTATCACCTGTGATAACACTGTACTTCAGATAAGACTAGCCCGAGCATGGAGGTTCATTGTAGTTTTACAGCAGCAAGAAAAACATGATAAACTCAAAATAAATCTCATCTCTCTGATCCTTGTTGAAATTCTGCATTTATCTATTTAAGATAAAGGTGTTGTGACTGTACCAGCTGACACCAAGCTACGGACTCTTACAAGTAGCTCCTTCTGTGTGGTGTCTTTACAATTTCACACCTCATTATCTCCATCATTATCATGTTTACTGAGCCTCTGTCGCATGTTTTAAATGACATGATGAATGGGATCGAATTTCTTACTTATTACACATAATTGGTGTCATTTTATCTTTCCTTTGTCTCGTCTGTCTGCTCACAACATTAATTACTGAATGTCACCCATTTTCAAAAGCTCAGCATATGTGTCAGATTGTGTATTTTTTACAAGAGATATGTAACTTATTTTGACCACAGTCTGGTGATAGCATTTTATTTTAACAGTTTTAAAACTTATAACTCCCATATATTGGTGCTGAGTGGTTCGCGAATGCTAGAACTGCCAAAGATAAGGATTAACGTACTGGCAAGGTAGAGTCTGCAAGTGCTGGCAGTCACTTCATTTGGAGAGGGCACAGCTATTCATATCTTTTGTTTGACAAATGGCACACATACAGCACATCACAGTGCTGGGAAGAGTTTTGTATGTCATTATATTTTTATTGTACCGTATGTGTGAAAATTAAAGTTGTTAACTGTGTATGCGTGTAGAGCCAACAGGACTGCAGGGGCGAGTCCTGAATACAGGGCGCTGCTATAAATTTAACATTGAATCCGACAAAATCATTTAATTGTGTTGGTTGCATGATTGGAAAAATACATACCAACACTAGTCAAAAACCTGCACATGTAAACTCCATTCCTAGCTTTTGTTTTTGTTGTAGATGACTTTTGATCCACATTGAGTCCTCGTCAGGGTAAAATCTCCAACAGAACACACACTGCATAAAACTGTACTTAGATAGGTGGCATAATAACCTAAAAAGAGCAAATCTACAACAAATCATTGTCAGTGATTCTCATTTACTTCGCCCTTGTATCTTCACCCATATGCCTACCATTTTCCTGCCGATCTTCTCAGGCTGTCCGACATTAGCCGTCACGACCCTGACCGTATTTTCTAAGGCAGGCAACACATTATAGGCCCCGGGGCCAGGAACCTCTGATGCATCATCCTCAAAACGCTTGGAGCGGTTCTGAAGACTGCAGCCACCATGGACGTTTAGCTGTAGAGACAAAGATTTACCAGAAAGGGAAGCAAAGATAGAATTGCAATGCGGTCCAAAAGATTCGCTGGCCACTAACAGATTCTTTCCTGGACTGCTTTTTTTTTTCTTTTTTTTTTTTTACAATATGCAAACATCATCCTCAATTACCTGTCATTTTCCAAACTGATAAATACTTTAATATACTTCAACTCATAACAGCAAATTATACGTCTTTTCATGGGATTCTGGACAGTGAAATTAGTTGTTATGCCAACAATGACCTCACAGCCATTACTCATCACATCTCCTCTGTCTGTGCTTTCTGTTATATGAGTGTAATAAATAGCTTGCAATAACTATTTTCCTTCTTGATGGCATAAATAAAAATACTAACAATTCTTGTCATAGACATCCCCCTTAAAATGATTTAAAGCAACTCTACTTCTGCTTCATGATCATCTTGTCCAGTCAGGTACCTGTACACCGTGACAATGGTACACTTGAGTACACTTAGTCTTCTACTTATTTGTAAATTCAATTTTCCTTTAAAATCCAAGAGTACCTTGACAGGTAAGGAGTCATACTGTCCAGGTCCTGGTATCCCCTCACTGGACTTTGGTAATAATGACTGCCTGTCGGTCATGGACAAGAAGGGAGCATAGCCATCTGGAATAAAAACAAAATAATTCACAAGTTGCATGATTGCTTTGGACAATAAGTTGTGTGCTGTTTGTTTATTAACCCTCTAAATCCAAAAGCCACCAGTGAGTTTGACAAAGCTTTTATTTTTTAATTAAATGTAAGAGAATTTCTAAGAGCCAGAAACTGTAAAAGAATCATCTGATTTTTAACTTTGTGAAGGTCCTTGAACAAATCATGTGCGACGTGTACTTCGATAAGTAAAACTGACCAAAGCTAGAACTAAAATTGCAATAATCTGTTAAAATAATTTATTCCATGTCTCATTAAACTATTTGGCTAAAAAAAAGCACCATGTACACTAATCAGATTGTGTAAAATAAATAAATATTATGTGCTCCTCATTTCAACCGTGAAGCAATTAGTGACTCAGCTGCAACCAACAGATATGCAACAAAAATTCAGGGACTTCTACGGGACTGAAGTGCAGGCTGTGTTCACATGGCACAGATAGTGTAAATACATCAACATCTACAGTATGTACAGTCACAGGTTTATTCCCATATTGGTGAAACCTGTGGGCACCTCGAAAATGTTGCACATGTTGGTCACAGGTGTTTTTAATTTATGTAAAATAAATAAAAGAAATTCAATTTTGTTTTCTGTCAATGATTTTATGGCATTTTTACTGTTGTCATACTGCATATAAGACACTTTCTGCTTCTAGCCAGGATTGTGTTGATTCTATGGGGGACTTTACAGTGTAGTAAAACAAACGAGCCTACAGAGTGAGGAAAAATATGACAGGAAGTTAAAAAAAAAAAACAAAAACATAGAAACTGCTTTAGGTTCAGAGAGATTATCATACATTTTCGCTTTCATATTGTTTAATTAATCCATGAGGTTACACTGCCAGATATAATAATGTATCTTCGAGACAGCAAACCCAGGCCAAAACTGGGGAAGCAGTCTAGAAACTAATAAACTGTCATTTTGCTAACAGTTTTTCAGGTGATGTTAGCATTTTACATTTAAGCTAGCTAGAGTTGGTTCAATTTTAATTTAAAAAATATATATATACAGTTGTGCCATATTGTCCCTTGAGATTAAATTGCATAAGAATTTCTCGAGTGGTCTACAGTAATTTTTTTTTTTACAAAAATGTGTAATTAACTCCTGCTACCTCCTATGGTGTAGCCGCGCTGGCTGACATTGTAGGATCCGGGGCCAACAGCGGATGATGTAGCGTCAGTTGACACGAAGGTCACTCTTGGAGCTCGTCCATACATTTTTTTTTTTAAACTCACCCTCTCCACTTGGCTTTGCTAAACTTCATTTGTTACAAAAGGCTTCAAATATTTCCTTGAGTCCACCTAAATTGTGGTTTTGTGAAAATGTGAAGTGAAACAGTCCTGGCCTGCTCTCCTCTCTATACTGTCTTGGCTGCGCTCGTCGTTGCTTGGATACCACATATCGTTACACGGCGACCGGAGTCAGAAAACCAACGAAGAAGAAGAGAACAAAAAAAAAAAAAAAAAAGTCAGGTAAAAGTTATTTCCTTTTGTGTTTTTGTTTTTTGTTTTTTTTTTTAACCTCCTATATGGACATTTTTGTAACACCAGTAATACTGTCGCTTTTGTTAATATTTAATTTATTTATGTTTTTTGGTTTTTTTGGCCGCCATTTTTGAGAAAACATAAAGTATGTCCTCCAAGCTGCAAAGTGTTTTATACTTTGGCAGCTATCTGATGTATGTTTCTATGGTTGTTGCCAAGGAGTAACCATAGTCCAATCCTACCATCTAGTGGGTGAATAAAATGAGGCAGCCCATATGTGTGAAAGTGTATTTGCAGTTAGGGTTCATTTAAACAGAAAAGCAACTCTTTTCATTTAATTACATCAACATTACTTGCTTGTTTTGGTGACAAAAAACCCAACAGTTTGGCCTTAATGTGCCACTCTTATCACCGTTCCTGTCAATAATTGTAGTTTTACTTGCTCTGCTCTGTTAGGCTGTCCCACAATGTATGTAGTCAAGATCTGGGTAATGAGATGTCAGGGGAAAGCAAAGCGAGTAACTCTCTGGAGTGACAGTGATCTCTATTTGAACTGTCTATCTCGTAAGTTTTGCTTTGCACGCTGGTCTTTGTTTTAGCATATGTTATTATGTACAGCAGAGACTAAGCTTGTTCTGAGAGACAATCTGTAGCTGAGCAAACCACACAGATCTGAATCACCCGTGTAAGTAGGATATTATGAGAACAAATGATTTGTTATTATCCATTAACACACCATCCATATGCTCATGTGTTATTTTATCGTCAGTATTTCTCACCTGACGGTCTCACCATGTGAAGTCAACAAGACTGAAAACTGACCTTTATGTTAGTGACTGGAAAAAAAACTGCATCATTAACTGCTTATCTCATTGAAAGCACTTGTAACACTTGGAGTTCTTGAAGTTGCCAGTTTTATTTTACTTACTAATTATCAACTGTCTTTTCCCAGGAATGTGAATGTGAGCCAAGGGAGGACTTTCATTTATCTCTTCTTGTGAAAATTCACACTGCTTGTCAGCAAACCATGTCACAAAACAGAACATGTAAACATTTCTCCATTAAATAGGTTCATTTAGAGAGAGAGAAAATAAATTGAGCTGGACCTTAATGAGTTGCTATTAACGGTTTTTTTTGTTACTGACAACCGGAAAACATGTTTACAGGAATAAAATGAATATAGAAAACAGTGAGCCTGGTGGGAGACGGGAAGTCCTGTACAATCAGACGCAAGATTCCAATACTAAAGTGTTTTTTATTTGATTTATGACGAGACAAAATACAGCAGGTGTCAAATTAAAGGAAAAACGAATAGCGCCTTAGTCAGGTGTTGATTCACCAGGTGCTTCCAGAACAGCCTCAGTGTGCCTTGGCATTATTTTATCCAAGTCTCTGGAACTCTACTGGAGGGATGAAACAACATTGTACCATCAGATATGACGGTGGAGAGCTCTGTCTAACATGTCAGTCCAAAATCTCCTTCCATCCATCCATCCATCCATCCATCCATCCATCCATCCATCCATCCATCCATCCATTTTCTTCTGCTTATCCGGGGGCAGTAGGTGGAGCAGGTCATTCCAGACTTCCCTCCACCCGGCGACACTTTCCAGCTCTTCTTGGGGGATCCCAGGCAAACCAAGAGATATATTCTCTCCAGCGGGTTTGAGGTCTGCCCCGGGGTCTCCTCCCAGGTGGACGTGTTCGGAAGACCTCCAGAGGAAGCCTCTCCAGAAGCATCCGAATCAGATGTCCATACCACCTCAATAAAATCTCCTTAAGGAAGTCAATTCGGTTGCAATCTGATGACTGTAAAGGTCATAGCCTACAGTTTTCATCATAGAGGTGATCATTTGGGACAACTTTACTCTGATCTACAGTGACCCTTCACTCAACAGGGACAAGAGGATCCAGACCATGGAAGTAAAAGGCCCCCCACAGGCTGACAGCGTCCCTAAACCTGCACACTGTCGGGGTCAAGGGGTCAAGTTTTCACTTCATTTGCTTTCCAGTGGTTTGTCTCAGCTCTCAGTACTTACTTGTGTTTCTTTAACCTTGCTTGTGCTTTGTATTCTCCTGCTGCCAAAACTGTGTGATAAAGCGAGACTTAATGCGTTACGAATTAGAATGTTTCTTTTAGGTTGAAACAAATCAATGATAAATGAGAGGCTACACTCTAAAAAAATAATGTTTGGGTTGAACACTTTGCATAAGTCTTTTGGAGTTACAACAACTTCTAATGAAATTACCATTAACTCCTACACTGAGTTAGGGGAATTTACTTTTCCTCTAGAATCTAAGGTATTTTTAATTACTCCTTTATTATTAAATGTTAAGTTTTATAACTTAAACGGGTGTTTTTAATTTAAAAATTAAGTTGTTTCAATTCTCATTTCTATTTTCTTTACCTAGTTATCACAATCAGAAACACAATGCTTTAAGCTGACAAAAATTTTAAAAAATAAGTTGCTCCAATTACATTTTCTTTACTATTTTTGGACGTTCAAGCAGTAATTTTTTAAAGAAATTAATTCGTTTAACAACATATTTTTTGACAATTAGCTCTTTTGATTTTGAACTGTAGTGATGTCTCTGAACACGCAATATTTAAACATTAAAAACAATAAATTTAGGTTTCAGTTACACACAGTATTATGTTGACATGATTACTAATATTATGTCAACTCGTTAAAAATAATGCTCGAAAGTCAAAAGGTTTGTCGAAATCAATAAATACGGTTGTTTGTTTGTTTTGTTTTTTGTTATATATTGCAACCATGCGTTTATTAATTGCTGGGAGTAGTTTCTATGAATTACTGTTCAGAGTGTACCTGTACCAGTGGAGGGCAGCAGCGAGCCTCAGGCGAGAATGAGCTGCCTCAAATTCAAAGGAAGCCGAGTGGTGCCTTTAAAGGCAGCACGAAATGTAGGAAGAACGAACGCAAAATGATTTTTAAAACGCTAATTATACCTCGGCGTTGAGTTTTAGTATATGTATATAATAGCTATGGAGTTACAGTTTTTGTCCTACTTGAAAAGTGCAAAAATGTAGATAAAAGTTATATTTTACAAGCAAAATTAGCAAACTACAAATTGGTATTTATTCACGGAAGTGCCAGTTTACGGAGCGGACGCGAAAGCATCACGGGTTATCACCACCATCACAGCCAGTGTCTGTCATCCCCCAGCAAGGTGTCACTTTCGGCAGCTAACTACTCGTTTTACACCGCGTTTAACTGAAACGTTTTGATACACACCTCTGCTTGACATCTCGGGGGCCTTTGGTGCCATGAAAGGAATCAGGTTTTTCGTGGTTTTCTTGGTGCTTTCCGCGTCTTTGCTGTGCACAACCGAAGCGGGCAGGAGCAAGACCAGCAACCAGAACAGCTTCCGACGGGCAGCTAACGGCGTCTACCAGACCCTGAGCAGCGTTTTCGGAGAGGACAACATCAGAGGGTTATACAAGGTGAGTGAGCCGCGTATAATTGACGAGATAGCGGCTGGCTTTGTTCGAACAGCTTGTAAAGCAGCTGGCAGCTAAAGGAGAAAAAAAGAAGAAGGGGTGGTTTGTGGTCTGGGCATGGCGAACAGGGAAGAAGCGCGCCCGGGCCTGGCCAACAATTTCACGGATGCCATTTTGAAAAAATAGCTTTTATCCCATGATTTCTCTCTGGGAAGAATGCCAGCCGGAGTAGCACTGACGTTAACACAAAAATGACTTTTATACACTTGTTTGAATTGTGCTGTGTAGCAAATTGCCATTAATGGCACTCAAGTCCATCAGTGAGTGAATCTGTTATACCACAAAACAATGACATGCAGCCCCCACTGGTCCAGGCCAGAACAGCTGTTTCCTCATGTTGCCTAAATCTCTCCTCGATTATTAGAAAGCTTATCTTGTTAAGGGAACGCTGGATTAGCTTGTATGTGCTCTCATTGGTCTAGCTGCATTTCCTGCATTTTGAAACGTGGTCTTATTTCCTGCATTTTAACCGCCAAACTACAACACGTGATAATGTGTTACTAGTTTAACCTGCAGTGGAGAAAATGTAGACGTTTAGCCTTCATTTACACCTTTAGACTTTCCAGGGTACTATAAAAGCCTGATGTCTCACTGACAACATGCAAATTGTGAATGTGGAGTTGAAGCTGTGGGAGGAGAAAGTGATGTGATGTGTTGGAGCATGTTTTACATATTTAGTCTGGTGATGGCTCAGGTGATCTGCAGGGATGTAGTTTAGCCTTTCGTTGATGCTGACGGAGACCTTTTTGGCATTAGATGTGTGACTTGTCAAATACAGGCAGAGATGGCAAAAGTACTCACGTTCTTTACTGAAGTAGAAGTAGAGATACAGACTCTGAAAGAGACTCTGGTAAAAGTAGAAGTACTGATTCAACTCCTTTACACAAGTAAAAGTAAAAAGTACAGGTTCAGAAATGGACTTAAGTACAAAAGTAAAAATGAATTTTTAGCTGCGATGCCTCTTTTGATAATTCTGTAAAACAAACAGAGTTTTAAGCACACTAAACAGGATTGTTTTCATCCTTTAAGCACAGCGCTGGTACAGAGAAACACATCACTGAGCAGTTTTCCATTTCATCAACATTATGAACATTAAACATTATAATCAACATGGAAACACTCATCTCCTCAAGACGACCAAAATCTTTTATTGAGCCTCAGTAGAAGCTGGTTCTCAAAGTTCTTTGGATGAAGACGGGCCCTTTTGGGTCTGAACATCAGTCCTGCAGTGCTAAAAAGCCTCTGGCAGGCCGCTGAGGCAGGCAGGGCTGTGTTGAGCTTCAGTGATAAATTGCACACTGCTGGGAAAGATAAAGACGTTTGTTGCCTTTTATGTCATGTCGTCATCCGTGGAGGTTGAAACAAGTAACGAGCCAGTTTTGAGAATGTATGGAGGAGACAGTACAGATGTAGGGAGTAAAAGTAAAAAGTCATCAGAAAAATTAATACTCAAGTAAAGTTCAGTAACAAAGTATTTGTACTTCGTTACTTCCCACCTCTGAATACAGGTGTTAGTGTCAATAAATACAACTGCAGCGATGTCTACTGTCCACAATGGCTCTTAAGGTTTGTAGGCAGCAAAAGGATCGATTCTTGTGAAAAGTCTACAGTTCCTGCAGTGGTGTTCGTCTTAACCTCTTAACGACGCCGTGGCTGTGTGCACACTTGAATAAATTATAGAATCAGTTAGTCTTAAAGCCACATAAGCCATTTAGAGTCAGAGAGATACTAATAGTTTGGCGTTTTACTTTTGCATTGATCAGAACGCTGTCATGTTCACCAGATAAGAAAAACTGTAATGTCATTTCCCCATTATCGTCCTGTCAGGTTTTAATGCAAAAGACAAGAGATGACAAAGGAATATACAGGAACAACGGCTAGATAGATAGTCAACAGAGCACTACTTTGCTAAATAGTTGTGAAATGTATGTTAGAAGAAAACATGTTGACTGACAGACTGTGCTGTTAAACCTGAAGTTTAAATATTTAGCACATGAGCCTTTTCATGTAGACAGCTTAAACAGTAAGATGCATAATAGGGCTAAACGTTGTTAGAAAATCTGACGTTACCATATTTTGTTTTTCTGTGATGTCTATTGCAAAATGACAATTTCCTAGAAAGTTCACCAGATGACTTGAATTGGCTTCATTTTGCTGATCTAAATAGTCAAAGAAAGTAGTTCTGTTGTGTTGTCTGTAGTGCCAGCGGCTGCTCGACACTCCTGACAGAGTACCCGCTCTTGATCAATGCCAGCCTTTCTGTAGCCCAAATAATTCCTTACAACTCATGCTGTGTTTCTAGTTTTTCAACCAACTTGTCCTTTTTGAAGCAGCGTAAATTAAATTGTCTTGTACATTAGCCATGGAAAACGAGAACAATGTGAGCTTTCTTTTTGTATCAAGCAGCAAAAAACGGTTGTAGTATGATGTGTTTTAGTTCATTTGCCGAGTCACAATGCTGATCATTCCCTCTGTAAAAAAGTATGTGTGGAATTAACACATAAAACGTATTAATTAGTGAGTGACGCACTAATCAGCCCTTTCCTTTTATTTGATAGTTTTTCTCCAAAGCAACGGAGCGGTTCGTCCATGGAGTGGACTCTTTTCTGGACACCATCTGGAAGATCTGGTCGGATCTGCTGGACGTGATGGGCATTGATTGTAAGCCGTTTAATGTGTATTCCTCATACTATGATGAGAAAAGTGATGCAGACAAAATGTAAAGTGTGTCAAGTTAAGAAATGTGAAATGCACTCAGCCTTCTAAACTTCATGTATTTATCACGTGCTAACCTTATTTATAAAGCACTTTTCAAACAAGTCAAATGCAGTTCAAAGTGCGTTACAAGCAACTCACCCAACATTGGATGTTAAAAACAGATTTCTAAGCAATTACCAATGTTAACTTCCTCTTGTCCTTCTCCGTCTCTATGTAGCCTCAAACCTCAGCCACTACTTTAGCCCCACATCCCTCACCAACTCCCCAGCACGTGCCCTGCTCCTGGTTGCCGCCGTTCTCTTGGCCTACTGGTTCCTCTCTATGTTCCTGGGGGGTTTCTTTTACCTGCTGCACGCTGTGTTTGGACGCTTCTTCTGGCTCGCACGTGTCACCCTGTTCGCCCTGTCCTGCCTCTACATCCTGCAGAAGTTTGAGGGTGACCCCGAGCGCGCGGTGCTGCCGCTGTGCTTCATCATGGCCGTGTACTTCATGACGGGGCCCGTGGGAGCGTACTGGCGCCGGGGAGCCGGGGCAGGCTCACTGGAAGAGAAAATCGACCACCTGGACACTCAGATCAGGCTGCTCAACATCAGGCTGAGCCGTGTTATAGACAGCCTGGAACGCACCGGGGAGCAGTAGACTTACTGTAGGTTGGGTTTAAGGCGGGGGGAGGGGCTTGGGGAAACCAGATGTATTTGGTAACAGAATACTGTTTCCTACACACATCTGCAGCAACACAACTACTGGGTATTTACAACTCTATTGTCAGATGTGGACGAAACTAGATTTGAACGTAGTATTTGAATGGCTTGAGTCGATTTCAGTAACAGGGAAGTATAAATCCTCAGAGGCTTGGACTTGGAGCTAACGCAAATCAACCAAACAGCATTTTTTTTTCGTTTGTTTTTATCTCCAGGATTCGGAAGGTTTTTTCTACATCTCTGAGGAAGTTATCAGAGAGATGTCCAAGATTTTCTAAATGTTCATCTAATTCAACACCTGAGCGACTTTTGAGAAACTCCCAAATTAGAAAGTTTAAGCACTGTCAATGCATATGCTTATGGATGTTTATTTGTATCCTTGTACATAATCCGGGGGTTAAGACTCAGTTTTGTCCACAAAAAAAAAAAAAAGATTTTTCCCCTTTTTGAAACTGCTACAGTAGGAACGGGGATGGGGCGTATGACACAGGGGTCAGATACAAACCTTGTTATTTCTAATATGTAAAATCTTCAAGATGTTGGATAGTTGTCAAAAAAAAGTAAGATTTATTTATTCCATCCTCCATCCAAAATGTTGAAATCATGTAGATGTAGTTTGTTTCATTGAGTCACCATTCCATAGTGGCGATAGTTAAACATCAGGACCTCTTTTTCTCATGTGAATGTGTGCGCGGGTACATGAGCATCTCGTTGACCTTCTCGAATGTGTGTGTGTGTGCACGTGTGGGGGTCAAGCTTGTTTAATGGTAAAAAAAATAATCACTATTAAAAGTCACCGTCGGACTTGGAGAAAACGCAGACAGGCAGCAATATCTCAGGGACTCACCCAACGCATATGTTGAACTGAAATGAGACGTCAAGTATCTTTAAATCACGTCTTGGTCTCTTTGAGTCTCTTCACAGTTCAGATGTAGTGAATTATGTGTGTTTTTTTGCGTTGTGTTGAAATTGCAAACATCCAGCTTTTTATGCATCATTTGTGGACAGTAGCTCAATGATTCTAGAGAGTGCTTCGAAGTTTTTAAATTCAAAAATAGCATTTTTAGCATAAACTAGCGTTTAAGAATATATTACTTTAGTTGTTTGAGTCACATCACTATGGTTGGGAATCTGTCTTAACACATTTACATCTTTCAGGGTTAGTATTTTGGTGTACGTTTCTCTACTTGGTTGCATAATAAATGAGGTCTGTGTGCATAGTGTGCTGCACGGCATTATTTAATCCTGCTGGTTCTACGTCATGTTAAATCTACTCATGCCAGATTTTAATGATAGTTTATAACCAACCTAATCATGCAGTATAACACTGTTTAAGAAAAGTGCTTTAGGTATATTCCTAGTGTGCAGCATTGTAGCCATCTCTAGTTTATTTGTTGGATTGGACTGTTTTTATGTTTACTATGTTTTCTATAGTTTTCTCTGTCATCGTGTGACATCATAAGCGAACGAGCCCCACATGTGTTTGCGTCATATCTTCATCTATTCATATCCATCCTCTCGTCGTTTTGTGTGACTTCGATTATGCTCTTTAAATGCGTTTGTATAGAAATGACCCTAACGCTGTGTAGATTCGTAGAAAGAAAGTTGGTGCTTTTAGTGATAACGAGAAAGTTCGATTAAAAGATATAAGTCGGTGATGTTACTGACACGTAGATAGCTCTTACGTTTTAAACTAATACAGAGGTCAAAGAATGAATCAGTATTTCTACCCTTGACGCTCAGATCCTCAGCAGCTACCAGTATGCGTGACATGTTGTGGGATGTGTTATTATTTCTTTCATGCTTGTAATGTTACCATTCATTTAGGAGAAGAAAGGCGTTGGGTACAGGTACAGACACTTTGGCTACTTCCCAGCATAGTCCGATAATTATCAGCATGTGTGGTTTATGTGAGTTCAGGTTCGTTAGACTCGCTGTCTCGCCTTTTGTTAGGAAAAAAACATTTGAATTATTTGAATATAGGTTGATTTAATGTATTTCAGTTGTGTCTGACGCTCGGAAAGGTTTTCTCACTTTGCCCAACATATATCACCCATACGTCCAGTGTGATCTGGGATTTTCTTGCATGCTCTGCTTCTATGCCTATAATGTTACGTTACGATATATACATGTTGTGGACTGCCTAGGTAGAGGGCCCTGATGTGTGATGTTAGCCAGAAGCTATGATTCTATTTAAAACTGTGTTGTTTTTTCTGTACCATTACAGTTACATTTGCACTGATTGCTAAACTGTGTCGACCAAAATTATGATTCATGAAAAGGCTGTTTTGACATTACAAGACTAAACTGGAAACAAAAACAAAACAACTCTCCTCATTCTGTAATCGCAGCCAACGCTTGTCTTTTCTCTTAATTTAAAGAGCTGACGTAAGAGAGGGGGGGCTCGATCCGGGTGTCTTGTAATGTGTGCTTAGCCTGACAGTGTGTAGCCAATGATCTGTGTGTGTTTAATGGCAGCGCATGTGACATATGAAGGTGTTCAGTTATTAGTAATAGTCATGTATGTTGTTGAAGGAAGTCGTTACCCAGGTTAGAGTGGATTCTGTTATGAAAGCTCAATCACATGCTCGTGGTACTGTAATTCAGGTGGTTCAGCATTTCGAGTGGATGCTTGTCTGTGTCATAAAAGTGATTATAAATGAAGCTCTTTAAATTTGACTTGTTTTTTCTCACACTGTTCACACTCGCTGTAGCCTTCCCTTCAGATATCGTGGAAGCGGCAGTGAATAATGTGAACCACTCAGATGCTGAATGATCCTTTTGTTGGCGTCTCTCAGCATCAGAATGAATGCTACAGTCAGATTATATTTATTCTTTGTTTAGAGTGTCTTCTGAATGACTTGTAATTCCAATAATTTAATGTACTGTATCCTACATATTTCTATTATTCCACGTAGCCTGCTTTTTATAATATGCCGTGCCAATACTGTATGTTTGTCGTTACTTTGCGATTATTTGTAACTGTTGATTTTTGAGTAGATGCAGATTTTTTTTCTTAATTTCACCAATTGACATTTTTACACCTTTTTTTTGTTTTGTTATTTGAATATTTCTGTACTTACATGATGTGGCAAGAGCCAAACTGTTCTGCCTGCTGTTGTCAACTTTGTGTTTGAGTGTGTGTCTTTATGAAAACCTGTTGGTGGGAAAGTGATTCTTTTTGTGTCTGTGTGAAAATGAGGTCCAGATTTGAATAAATTAAACACCACAGTATGACTTAAACGTCTACTACTCTCTGATTCATGAATACATTTGAAGAGATGTGACTTCCCTTCACAGGGATTTAAAAAAGTAAAACCTCTAACATTGTATTTGCAAGTATATGCAGTTGAAACGGGTCATTTTTTTGAGATTACATGTAGGTTTAGACACTTTTTTTTCCCTATCACCTGAAGAGCCATCCATCTATCCATCATCTATACACCGCTTAATCCTCACTAGGCTGGTCGGGGGGCTGGAGCCTATCCCAGCTGGGCGAAGGCAGGGGACACCCACTTTAGTTTTAAATGCATTCTTTAACTCAGTAGTACTCGATGGTGGCTCTGGAACAATAACATTCATGGCAGTAGGTGGTGCTAATGCATCTTGGGTGATTACTGAAAGCCTGTTTTTGACAAGAGCCAAAAAAAGAGGATGCATTATTAGTTGTAGCACCAGTCTTGTCTGCATACATATAAATCACAAAAATACCTTCAAAAGGCATATACACACAGTGTTTGTACACTCTGTTGATGATATCAGCTGATCTTCTTATAATAAAGCCTGCTCAGAAACAATCTGTGGTTATTATGGCTAACACAACAGGAAGGAGCATTGATACGGTGACTTAAAGATTATTAAGATCATATGTTACTGACTGAGTGAGATGAAAGCATTCTTATTAAATGACAGGGGTGTGAGTGACATACTATAAACTATGTGACTGATTTAAAAAGCTGCTCCAAACAACAATGACAAAGATTTCCTCCTGCAAGATTATAAAATGCCTCACGATGAAGTATCAAACACAGATTGAGGAAATCGAATCAACCGGTGATGTCTAGACTGTCAAATACCCAAAGCAAAACCATCCATCCATCATCTATACACCGCTTCATCCTCTAGGGTCGCAGGGGGCTGGAGTCTATCCCAGCTGACTTAGGGTGAAGGAAGGGGACATCATCAATTAACATGTTTTCGGACTGTGTGGGAGGAAGCCGGAGAACCCGGAGAGAACCCACGCTGCACGGGGAGAACATGCAAACTCCATGCAGAAAGATCCCGGGTGTCCTCATTGGGACACAAACCAGCGACCTTCTAGCTGCGAGGCAACGGTGCTAACCACCGCGTCACCTTCCAGCCCCCAAGCAAAACTAAATTGCTGCTAAATTCATGTAAAGTCACTTTGCACCTCCGAACCACTTTAGCACCTTATGTACATTGTAATTTTATTTATCCTATTTTAACGACCACATGGCTGCTTCTACTGTTGTGCAGTTGTTGATACCTGACTTGAACTGACCCCAGGGGACAAATAAAGTTTTTTGAATTGAATTGAATTGAATCAATATGCTGTATTTAGAACCACCTGAGGATACATTACCTCTAAAGTGGTTGTTTTATTTCACCTCCTGATCTGACAGTTTCATTCCTCGGGTTAATTT